GCCGTAGTCTGATGGAGGAACACCACGTCAGTCAGTCGGCAGTGGAGGACGGAGGTATGGACTATGGAGGAGCTGTGGTTCTGTCCCCTCTCCATCTGTTTGTTTGAATGTGTTGAAGCAGCTGATTGGATGATTTGGATGATGCGTTTGTGAAGCGAATTATGGGCGGTGTAAACGGTTTTGGTTTTTTATGATGATCAGTCATCAGCGTGATGTTCCTGAACTTTTCTACAGCCCCTGATTACTGACAAGAGTTCTGGTTCTGTCCGTAGCTCCACTCCTAACCCTTCCCCTCGTCGTGCTCTCATACTCATGTTATATGATCTGACCTACGACCTCAGGCAGCTAAGGTCAGCGCAGTTATCTTGCGGTGCTAACTGTCGTTCGGTGTAGCCCAGCTCCGTCGGTGATAGCAGTGAGGAACACCTCTGTCACGGCGTGAGCTCACACACGGCAGGTTTTTTTTTACATTAATGTTCGACTGTAACTGAATGGAAACAGCTCTTTGTAATCCGCAGAAAAAATCTGCAGTTCTGCGACCCATTTCCCAAGGAGGTTTGTGTCGGAGCGAGAGCGAGTGTGACGTGAATACTGAACAGGCGAGAGAACAGACGGAGAAGAAGAGCTGAGTGGGAGTCCAGGACCACGGCCCGGTGGTACCTGCTGAAGCCCTGTTGTGGATCAGAGGTTTTTGATCAACCAGAGCACCTCCAAACCCTGTACCTCACCCTGAAACCCTGGGGTTCTCCAGAGCTGGTGTGTGTGGTCAGTGTTGGCGGCGTCTCCTGGACCGTCCAGGTGGAGGCTAACAGGACGCAAACCACTGCATTGCGGAGTCAACCCTGGCGGTTTACGAGGCAAATACAGTAGAGTGGTGTATTGATCTGATCTATGATTAGCCGGCTGACTCCACATTACCAGATTGCCTGGAGGCCGTGCGTTGTTCGAGACTCAAAGCCTAATGGATATGAAAGGAGCCCCGGTCTAAACTGAAAAGACATCAGTGAGAAAACATCGTCTGGACAAACCTGGCTGTAGATGTGTTGGTGGTAACTGACCAACCTGCCTCAGCGGTCTGTACTGTCATGGCGGTGACTCAGGAGCTTCAGGACTCAAGTGTTAAATTATTAATTGTTTTTTTACAAGCCCGAGGGCTAACAGTTTATTTTGGCGTTAGCATGCAACAAAAACTAAAGCTGGGTTTTAGGTTTAAATGTGTTGCAGATTTTTATTTCATTCAAAGTGACACTTCCAGACTGTGTCCACAAACCTGGCCTAGGTCTGCTCTGTCCACGGAGTGAGAAAACAGCGCCCTCTCTGTTTGACCGTGTCTAGTTTGAGTGCTTTATTTTGATGTTGAAGTCACCGACTTCACCTGGTGTCTGAACCCTGTAGAACTCATTTCTTAGGAACTTCACTGCGTTCTTCAAGCGTCTTTGGGTTGACGACCAGGAGGAGGAGCATCCTAATCCTAACAACCAGGCTTTCCATCATGGACGACACGTTTGCCGTTGGTTTTTTTTTGGTATTGCAGTAGAATCAGGTGTGTGTGTAGTCGTTGTGGTTGCCGTTGGTTTTTTTTTTTTGGTATTGCTGTAGAATCAGGTGTGTGTGTAGTCGTTGTTAGTTCTTCGTCTTCTCTTTGGTTTAATTCAGTCCCAACGTCACGGTCTCATGATGGAAGTTTTATGGAGAGTTTGGCCACACCCACATGTGGGGAAGAGTGACAGGTCAGGCCTGGTGTCAAAGGTCACAAGGTCAACAGTACAGAGAACTCCACCAATCACACTGGCCTAGGTCTGCTCTGTCCACGGAGTGAGAAAACAGCGCCCTCTCTGTTTGACCGTGTCTAGTTTGAGTGCTTTATTTTGATGTTGAAGTCACCGACTTCACCTGGTGTCTGAACCCTGTAGAACCCTTGGGGGGAGGGCGGGGGGTGACGACGACAACGACAAAGAACTCATTTCTCAGGAACTTCACTGCGTTCTTCAAGCGTCACTCACGGCACTTCCTGTCAGAGCGGCGTTTGTTGCGTTGATCAGAGGCGGCTGTGTGACAGGGAGAGTGTGGCGCAGGAACATTTCACGGGGATCTGGGTCTGGACACTGAGCTGAAGGAGGACTTCCTGTTCCACATGTGGACTGTGATGGCAGAACGCCAGCAGCTGTGTGTGTGTGTGTGTGTGTGTTTTGTTCCTGGTGGCATTTTAAGTATTTTACGCATTTTCTAAAACAAAAATTTCAGCTTCGTTCACGTCGTTGAAAGGAGGGTTGAATGAAAACAAACGACGACGACGACGAGTGTGGTGACGGTTGATGGAAACAGATCTGAGAACTGCTTTTAGAAACACAGCCTTTGTTGTTTCCTGTTCCTTTTTGTATTGAACGACAGCCTGAGTTGTGAGTTCTATTTCAGTTTCAGTTGGTGCTCGGCACAGTCTGTGTTCACATCCCTTCTTCTGTATCGTATCGCCCTAATTTTCACAGTTTTTTTGATAAACACTCCGTACTAAGACCTGGAAGTGTTGAGGTGTTGAACAAAGCCACAGTGACTTCTGTAATTAGAACATCCTGTCTCTTCTTTGATGACTTTGATGGTGGTGTTTTTGGAGAGGACTCGTCGCTGCCTCAGGAATCTGAGAGCTAATGTCATGCTGCTGGAAATTGAGTTTGGTCTGATGCCACTGAGGGGAGACTTCCCTGCAGCTGCTGCAGGAGGAACTCATTTATATTCCCATGATTGGATTCAGGAGCACGAGCACCTCCACCTCCACCTCCACCTCCACCTCCAGCTCCACCCTCTGGTGCTGTGCAGCCACTGCCACCCTGAGCTTCTTCCTTCAGTCTTGATCCGTCTGTGTAAATGTGTGTCATGTGGTTAAAAGACCATGTGCTCAGATCCCTCCTACTTTCCAGACGGCCTCCTCCTCCTCCTCCTCCTGCTCCTCCTTCTTTCATGCGACCTTTCTGACCCCTTTAGCACTGATTGGTGTAACGTGGCTCCTGGCTTGGCTGCACGATCTTCCACTGGTCCGTCGGTCGTACTCTGTAGATCAGCTGCACTTCGTCGGCAATTTTTACAGAAACGACCAGCATATTGCTAAAGAAAAAAAAAAGATTCTTCTTTCACTGACCCTAGCTGCAGAAGTGTTCCACTTCCTGTTTGGATAATGTTTAAGATTTTTCTTTCCTCTTACTTTCACCCAGCAGCAGCAGGGTGGCACAGCTCGGTCTCTGCATCGAGACTTGGCTGCTGCCTGACCCTCAAATGTCCCAGCAGCCCCAGCTCATCTGCACTGAAGTGTAATTTGCCGCAGCACTAAACCAGTGTAATATAAGGCCAGCCTGCTGTCAGGTGAACCAGTTGTCCACCGGGGGGCCACGTCATATGATGAATGTCAGTCTCTACTGTTGTAGAGGTTAATCTTCCTCCACGGAGCCAGAATCAAAGTGAACTCCAAGGACATGGAGTCCAGCCTGAAGGCCGCAGACCGCAGTCGGCCGAGGAACGGGGGAACGACGCGCTCTCCCAGAGAACCTGAAGTTCACTGAAGGTCAGGCTGCGCTCACACTGCAGTTTATCTGTGATCAAATCATAAAGAGTCAGAACCAGGTGACGTACGGACGATCCACGGGCGCCGTGAACGGACACGAGCGCCGATTCGTTTTAGCCGTTGTCAAGATTTAATGTTGACGTCTGTCAAAGTGGCACCGACAGAAAAAAAGGAATTAGGATAAAAGAAAAGTCCTGGAACCATAGTTTTGTCCCCTCTCTGTCGTACGTCGTCTCGTACATTAGATAAGAACATTTTCTTCTTCTTTCTTCTGCTCCGAGCCTCTGACCAACAGCTGGGCTTCTTAGGTAAATTGAATCAGCCCCTCCCTGGTCTGTCCGACTCTGGTGTGTGCCCCCCCCCACCCCCCACCCCCCGGCAAAGAAACTCAAGCCCACGGATTGATTTTTCTCCCTCTCCTCGTCTGCCTCCCCCCTTCATCTGGCCTGTGTTTCACAGCTGGTCCGACTGAAGCCGAGGAGGCCAGTAACTGCTGGACCCCCCCCTTCACCCCTCCTCCCACTGTGGCTCTCTCTCTCTCTCTGTTGTTCCTGTCATACGACACAGTCATCCACAGGTGGCGCTCACACAGTCATTCAGGTTTTTGTAGTAAGTGTGTGTGACGCTTACGTAACCTCCCTGCTCTCTTATCCCCACGGGTCTGCTCCGAGACGTGAAGAAAACGGGGTCAGTTCAGCTAGCGCTAATCGCTCCTTTTAGGCGAGGCAGCCATGAGACGGCGCACGGTTCCTTCCCTCAGACCTGCCTCCGTCGGAGCCTGAGACTCAGAAGGCCATTAAAGAGACAGCTCTCTCCTAAATCCAGTCCCTTGTTCCCCAGGCTGTTTGTCAGAGCCCGTGGAAGTGGGTCAGAGGAGCAGGAAGATGACATCACTGTGATTAGACCGCTGGCCTGAGTGATGTAACGTTAGCGCAGAGCGCCTTTAACTCTGTTCTGCAGAGGTCTCTCTGAGTCTGTGCTGGTTCTGAACTGAACCTGGTCCAAGATCTGGATCCTGTCTCAGGGGCAGTGGGTGTTTGATCTGCTCTGATCCAGAGTCAGTTTCTCTGTCATGTGGACCACCTGGTTACAGCCGTGAGTTTCTCTGTCATGTGGACCACCTGGTGGGCTGTTAGCGGAACAGCGCGTTGTCTCGTATCAGTCTCCTCAGTCATCAGCGTATTGATTTTTTTATCACCAGTTCCCAGTCAAATAGTCCCAGTGTTGGTTCATTTTCTTTTTCTTCTTCTTTAGAACTGGTCGTCTGACCTGGTAAATGTTGAACATCCTCGTCAAAATGTTTGTGCTATTTTAAAGCTTTTGTTTTTCTCCAGTACCGATCGGTACCGATTGTTCTGTTCCGACTCTGCCAGGTTGTAGTTTAGTAGCATTAATTCATTAACATGAAGTACTTGTTAAAGAACGTGTTAAAACCACAGTCTGATGGTTGCTGCAGTTCAAAGTGATGTCAGTACTGAGGTAAACAGGAAGTGACCAGTCATCACAAATGTCCCCCAATGAACACACTTCCCTATATTCAGTTTCCTGTACGTGGATGCCAGCTCACAACAAAGGTGGGTTTTTTTTTTGTGTCGCAGATTCTAGTTCAATCACCTGGTACTGTAGTTGTTCCTGGTTTCCCAGAGTCAAAGTTCAGGCCCGTGGTTTTGGTCAGAAAGAGTTCATTCCTCCACATTGTGCAGTTGTCACTCACGGTGACGGTGAAGAGCGTGTGGATCAGTCTCCACAAACACCAGCTCAGTGGGACTGAAGAGAAAAAAACCCCCTGCCGTTCTCTGTGGAAGTCTTTCACAAAAGCAGAGTCCTTTGTCTGAGCTAAAACCTCCCCACGGGGTCAGGGGTCAAAGTGCACGGTCCCTGCAAAGAAACGCCCTGCAAGAGGCAGCAGCAACAATCATTTTAGACATTTCGGTTCAACACGGGGTCAAAAGAAAACGTCTCTCACAGGTTACTGTTTTTATGACAGATGAGAAACTTTAAAGTTTATATCCATTTAGTTGTTGTTTGTCATGGGATTCAAACCAGCAACTAGCTGTACCTGCAGAAACGAGCTATACTTTCACAAATCAGGGTGAAACACGTGGCTCTGATATAGCTTAAATCTTAGCATTATATCAGGGCAACATTGCATCATGGGTGATTTTTTCCGGTGAAGCCTTGAACTTGAAGGTAGATTTTTACATTTACGTGAAACGGTTTCTCTCTTTATACAAACTTCCTCATTTATTACTGTTGAAATGACTCACTGATGAACTCCAGCTGATGTGAGCGCAGAGAGAGAGAGAGAGAGAGAGAGAGAGAGAGAGAGTGTGTGTGTGTGTGTGTTCCAGGCAGCTCCTGTCAGACCGAGACTGTAAAGTAACACCTCTGTGTGCTGCCACCCCCTGTAGAGGAGGAGTCATTACAGGAGCGTGACTGTAGCGTGTGGAACTCTTCTGTCAGTCGGTTTATTAGGAGTTAATTCATTAAAGAAAAATAAGTTACAGCATCGGTAACAACAGGTGGCGCTTCAGAACAACCCACTTTAGAACAGAGAGAACAAAGCTTGTTGTTGTTGTTGTTGTTGTTATTCTAACTCCAGAGGTTCATCAAAGTCACAGCACTGACAGTCAGTACTCTGATCTGTCAGTACTCTGATCTGTCAGTACTCTGATCTGTCAGTGCTGAGGTGGAACGCTGCCTCGTTTCGTCATGGATGGAACTGAACCGTACATCAATAACCTGGAACATTTGTTTACATCTGAACCCGCTCAACATTTCCTGTTTGTTACAATACAGCTTCCTGGCGTGGCGTCCACCCAGAGTGATTAGTTTTACATTTAACTGTTAGCGTGCCAGAAATAGTACCGCTACCTTCACCCACTCCCCCCCCAGGCCCCCCTCCCCAGGGAAGGCACCGGTTTGAGCGGTTGATCTGATGTAATTGATCAGCCTTGATTAACCAGCAGGTGTAGATGACTCAGTGTATGCAGATGATACGTTAATGTTTCCAGTGAAGTACGTGTCGTTCAGGACAAGGTTGACGCTCAACTACCGCCGACAGTATTTTTGTCTTTTCTGTGTCTCAGCTTGGAGACGAGTTTTTTTTTTACAGAGGTGGAGATTGACATGGGGAGGGAGAGAGGTCTGATGAGGTCTGATTGAGCACCTGGGCTGAACAGGAAGCAGCTGGAGAGTCTTGATTAGTCTGGATACACACCCACACACACACACACACACAATACACACAACACACACTACAATACACACTACACATACGTTAGTGGTTGTACCAGGCTGAGTTATTGGGTTATATAAAGATGATTTGAACAGTAGTGTGTATAATATACAGTCAAATACACAGTACTGCAGTACTACTACACATAGTCTACATGTGACGGCCCTGCAGTGAGTGTGTGTTTGTCAGTGATCATAATAGAGTAAGGTGTGTATGGAAACAGTGTGTTGAGCCAAGTGAAAGACCACACCCCCCCCCCC